GAGAGATCTCTCAACCAGCTAATGAGAATATTTAACATTTGCTGAGTCCACAGTGTGTTGGAAGTCATTCATCACTCCGCTGATTCAGTTCTGGCTAGTTATATGTTGAGTGTGCAAAATGCTTTGCCATAGGGCCAGAAGGCGGAGATGGGAAGGTGTGTGTAGTGCAAAGAAATACAGCCGGGCAATGACGGGGCTTAATTGATCGTCCGAGATCTGCAGGCTGAAGGACTTTAGGATGAGAGGACGAGCCTCTTATTTTGGCATTTATCAAGCAATACCACTTAACATTATCTGTTGTATGTCATTGGGCATTCAATTTTATTTGGGTTTTGGACTGCTGGAGAAAAAGCCACAAATTTTAAGAAGTCCACTTGGGCTCAACTTATTTCACTTTTCACAATTTCTTTGACATTTCAGTCATCAAACCGCTCTAATGCCTAATAATGAAACAAGTTAGCAGCCATGCTAGCTAACCCCCGCATGCCAACGTGATCAGTGTCAATGCTAATGTGTTTTTTAAGCAGGTGTAATGTTAACCATGCTCACAATCTTCACTGGCACTTAATGCAAAGTTTAGCTGTTTTTTATTAGAATAGTCTAATGAAAATAATAAATTGAAGCCGGATTAACAACACAGGCCAGAAATATCTATCATTTCTTTACACATTATGATTATAGTTCAGCTACATGTGTTATAAGCACAAAGACACAAGTTGGCTTGCTGTTTTATTGTGTTTTTTTTTTTGCTATGTGACAGACAGAGCTGAGCTACTCCTACCCACCCCCCACACTGCGGAGGAAAAATGCACCATTTCATGACGTGCTATAAAATGTGTGCTTACCGTCGTAAACTCTGCAGAAAAAAGAACATAAAAGTTCAGGAGGAAACCAAACATCAAGAACGGATCTCTTAAAGCCATGCCACTTCACAAACGTGACTCATTGGCTCCCACTGTTGAGCACTGCAAAGGGCTGCTCCATTGTAACCGACCAATCACGCACGTGGCGTTCCTATTGCCCGATAAGAGCTCAAAGGCCGCTTCCTCTTTCATGTGCTTTGCTTGGTGACCTTCACATAACCAGCTTACTCACTCGAACACGAACCGACAAGCGTGCACACGAGAGAAGAGGTGGCATTCCAAGATAACATCTCCAGAGCCCGTCCCGTGTCTCTGTGACGCGTCAAAACGCTCAGTGACCGTGATGCGACCTCACTCCACGCAAACAAACCGGTGGGGGTTAAAACAAGGCGAACGTGCACGTGTGTTTTACATCCGTGCAAGTTATTTTTTTTTGTGAGTGCTGAGGCTCGCATCCAACGATGAACTGGTCCCATAACTGAAGAGCAGCCTTGCACTTTACATGACCCCTGCGGTGATGAGCATATACATGACCACTAAGGCTGAAGCGGCCCAGCCGGGCCCGGCGCGGCTCGGCCCGGGAGCCCATGACTATTTAATGACCTTTTCCAGGTCAGAGGCGTGTCTTCTTCAGCCACAGAGAATGAACCCGTACCCCGGGAATTGACATGAATGAATGTTGACAGTGGCAACATGGGCAAGTCGGCGCTTTACTTGCTGGAGTAAGATATGCGATTGTACTCTACTTCTGAACGGAGGGGAAATGGGAGGTCACAAAACACTCGGGTTTCTTCTGTTGCTCCGTGTAGATTTAGCCTATTTATTTATTTTCCAGCTGATGTTGAATGGCGCTTTGAAGCAAAACCAACTCCCGGTGACCTCCCTCGTCCATTTTTAATGGGATGTAACAGCGAAAGATCCATTTTTAAAATGACTTGTGCATCTCTAACAGGGTTTCTATTTATTGAGCGAGTGTTCACTAGGACAGGTTGTCTGTAGTAATCACGTCTGTGTTTAAAAGGAAATGAGACCTTTCATAAATAGTAAGGCTATAGCACAGCTAAATCAATGTGGACATTGTATGTTTAAAATCCAGTCTGGCAATATATATATATAAATAGAAACCCTGTTAGAGATGCACAAGTCATTTTAAAA